CTTTAGCGAATATTACACAAAAATATCGTTGCAAGTCGGTCGTCACGTGAGAGATTTAAGCGGGTGGAGAGAAAAAAAATGTCTATTTTGATTCATGAGGAAGGAAATCGCAGACATATTTGTTTGTGGAATGGACTCTGACGGAGGAGGCGCTGAGACTAACAGTAATGTGGAATATGTAGGTCACCTGACCCCTTCCCCCCCCCCCCCCCTCCTAGCCTGCTCCCCTCTCTCCTCCTCCGTCCCACCCCTCCTCTCTCCCTCCCCCCCCTCCTCCTCCCCTCTCCCCTCCCCTCCCTCTCCCCTTTTCCTTCCCACTCCTCCCTCCTTCCCCTCCCGTCTCCACCCCCTCCTCTCCCCCTTTTCTTCCCACTCCTCCCTCCTTCCTCCCGTCCCCCCCTCCTCCCCTTGTTTCTCCCACCCTCCTCCTCCCTCCGCACCCCCCTCCCTCTCCCCCTTTCCTTCCCACTCCTCCCTTCCCTCCTCGTCCCCACCCCCTCCCTCTCCCCCTCTCTCCTCTCCCACTCCCCTCTCCCCTTTCCTCACTCCTCCTCCTCCCCCGTCCCCAACCCCCCCTCTCCCCTTCTCCACTTCCTCTTTCTCTCCCGTCCACTCTCTCCTCCTTCCCATCGCCCCTCCCCCCCCCGCCATCCAGGTAAAGGACCTGTGACGTCACGCCATGAAGATGCTCGTCGAAGCTTCGAGGGATTTGTGTTCGTTTGTGCGTGGCGCGTTTTTTGGTGCCTTTTGATAAGAGCATGGGATGTTTCGCCGGATGGCGCATGCGTGTGTTTTTAATGCGCACACACCACATACACACTACACACACAACACGACCACACACACACACAAACAACACACACACCATATACACGAACACAAACACACCACACACACGCGCACGACACACACAGCATGATTAGGCCTATGTATATCTATAATATATATGCGTGCGTGTGTGTGTGTGTGTGTGTGTGTGTGTGTGTGTGTGTGTGTGTGTGTGTGTGTGTGTTTACGTACGTATGTATGCATAAATTTCGTTATGTACAATGTGATAGCATAGACTTGTATGAATACAAAAGGTTAACCTAACTGACACTTGATCGTAACGTAATCTATTTTAACCCATGTTTCCTTACACTTTCCATCAAGTGTCAAAGTTATCAAACACAACACAAACAAAAAAGTATTCACAAAATACTAGAAACTTTCGTTATCATCAACTGTACTTGTAGTTTAACTTGCAAGGGTGACTGAACTCTTGTCCTTTCTCCATAGCCAAAAATAATCAAAATCAAGGATATTAAAGTGCGCAGTTCATCAAAATTAATGAAAAGGATACCCACTTTTTCAAAATCAGAGAGAATAGTGCCCAGTCCCTCAAAATTAGGGATAAAAAGTGTCTTCATCAAAATATGGGATAAAAACATATCCACTTCATCAAATTCAGAGAAAAAGGTGCCTAGGTCCTCAAGATAAGCGACAAAAAAGTGCCCAATTTCCTCCAAATAAGCGACAAAAAAGTGCCCACTCCGCCAGAAATAGAGGAGCCAAGTCCAGCAGAGGCCAAGTGCCCACTCCATCGAAAAGAGGGAGCCAATGCCCCACTCCGTCAGAATGAGAGGGAGTGCCAAGAATGAGAGGGAGCCAAGTGCCCCACTCCGTCAGAATGAGAGGGAGCCAAGTGCCCTCCTCCGTCAGAAATGAGAGGGAGCCCAAGTGCCCCACTGTCCGTCAGAATGAGAGGGAGCCAAGTGCCCACCGTCAGAAATGAGAGGGAGCCAAGTGCCCACTCCGTCAGAATGAGAGGGAGCCAAGTGCCCCACTCCGTCAGAATGAGAGGGAGCCAAGTGCCCACTCCGTCAGAATGAGAGGGAGCCAAGTGCCCCACTCCGTCGAAGAGATGCCCAAGAATGAGAGGGATCCAAGTGCCCCACTCCGTCAGAACGAGAGGGAGCCAAGTGCCCCACTCCATCGAAATGAGAGGGAGCCAAGTGCCCCACTGTCAGAATGAGAGGGAGCCAAGTGCGGAGAGGGTAGTGCCCCTGCCGCCCCTGTGTCCTCGCCCCTCTCGAACCCCGCTCACGTCGCCCGCAAACCGCCCGCGTGTTCGAGGCGTCGGCCGGGCCAGGCTGTTAGGGCGGCCGGTGACTTCAACGCTGCTCTTGTTTACAATTTCCTTTATCTTTTGCGAGTTTTCAATGTATCTTTAGTTATTCTTTTTATTTTTTTCTCTTGTATCTTAGTAGGGTAAGTGTATTCGTTGATTTTCGCGTAGTGTGTGTATGTCTGTCTCTGTAAATTAGTTAATGTGATAAAATGCATGCAGTCATGAACACTTTCGCTTGGCTTTACCTTCTCTAACTTGTCAGCTGATGTCAAAATAGGGCTTAAAACTCCTCCTTTCTCTCTCTCCCTCTCTTCCTCTCTGTCTGTCTCCTTCTTCTCCGCGCGCGCAGGACGTCTGTCTCACTCGCTGTCCAAACGAACACTGTCTGAC